CTTTAGATATCAGTGGAACAGTCATAGAACAGCTAAAAATTAGCTAATTATCATGCAAATTAGGTAATTAACGAGCATGGATTTTTACCAAAACCTAATCAAATCTGCGCATTGGCCCAGAGCATCTATGCACCAAGTTTCATCAAAAACCGATGTATGGTTCTTGAGATAGCAGTGGAACAGTCGGACACACATACACACATACACACATACACACATACAGACACACTAACTGCAAAGACTCCCATTTTGTGCTTCGCACATGGGAGTCAAAAATACGACATTTTCAAAAAACAAGATGGCTGCCAGTCGGCCATTTTGAATCGAATCGCTAAACCACTACATGTGCATATGTCCCACATAAAGTACTAGGCACATGCAGAGAATGAACGGAATCAGTCCAAAGGATTCTGAAATATGACTGACTCTGGATGGCCTGACACACGGAAGGACTGACGCACGGAAGGACAGACACACGGAAGGACAGTCACACGGTCAGACGGACTCACGGACATTTGGGAACATATATTATAAAACATGTATAATCTACGTACCAAATTTGAATGAAAACTGATGGCTGCCAGTCGGCCATTTTGAATCGAATCGCTAAACCACTGCATGTGCATATGTCCCACATAAAGTACTAGACACGTGCAAAGAATGAACGGAATCTGTCCAAAGAATTCTGAGATATGACTGCGGACGGATGCACGGATGGACGGAGACCGAATTATAAGTCCCCATTTTCGGACTTCGTACGAGCAGGGACCAAAAAATTTCCTATTTCAGGCCCACTACCATATCATATAGTGAGAAATTCCAACCGCCGAAACTTGCTGAATAATGACTTTCACCATGATTGAAAAGCATTGAGTCTGATAAGAAAGCAATTCACGTCTTGATTTGACCTTTATGATGAAACACTAATAGTGATGTCATGATTCACAGTCAATTCGTCCCAATTCACATTCGTCCCAACACATTCGTCCCACAAGTCGATTCGTCCCAATTCACATTCGTCCCACAAGTCGATTCGTCCCAATTCACATTCGTCCCACAAGTCGATTCGTCCCAATTCACATTCGTCCCACAAGTCGATTCGTCCCAATTCACATTCGTCCCACAAGTCGATTCGTCCCAATTCACATTCGTCCCACAAGTCGATTCGTCCCAGTACCACCATACTTATTTGTATATTGCAATGAAACAACCTCAACCTACTGATTTACGGTTTAAATTGCGATATGCTCACAAACATCGCCTCCATTTTTTTTTACCGAGCTTGTACCATTCACCGTAGGGGTGATAGGTCAATTCGTTGTGTCGTCACAAGAAGCGCTGTCCGAAGTATAGACTGTGTTGAAAGAATGCCGGCCTGCAGCGTCAATAAGGCCAATAGGGTCATTCGCGCCCATTTTTTTTTAGGGCATAGTGTAATAGTTTATGTTAAATATATAAAGACGGGAAATCCGAACTTGATTTTATTGTTCACATCTAAGTGACGATTTGAATAGGCACTGAAGGTAAGAACCGTTGAAACGACGTCTTTATATGTAGACGCACCTAGGAAAGTGTGCTAATGGGATGTCACATGCCGTGCAAACCATAAAAGGATTACTTGAGGTTGATTTGAGACAATAGTTTATTTATTAACACAACACAGACAAAATATTGAAGTCACTAAAACTTGTACAAGACAATAAATAACAGTAAAAGATACAAATTACAAGATTCACTGTCCATTAACATACGTAAATACATTACAATACATCTACAATTATACCATAGGGTTCTGCGGTTTTATTTTTTGTGAATTGTTTAAAAAGATTGTGGGTAATGGTCAACTAATTCTTCAAAAAAGTGATACCGACACGTGTATTAACCTT